GGTTCTCTTCCGAGATGTGTGACTTCATTAACCCTGGCTTGTTGGCTAAGCTTCTGGCATCAGGCATGCTTTCTCTCATGTTGTGTAGGCCTGAAGTCCAACCAGAGAGCTTTTGGTTATCACCAAGTCATGTGTGGTACTTCTCTGCCCTTAGGGTTATTTTATGAGATTGTGTCTCCTAGAAAGGTCAGAAGCTACACCCATGAAGTCTCACCTACATAGTCTCCTTCCACATGTGAAAGGAGAAAGGTCATGAGGTCTCAACCCTGGACAATTAAGGAATGCTGAGCATGGGACAAATGGTCTTCCCCAGGGAAGAGTACATCAGTTGGTCGTCCAATATTACATGGTCAGCTCTGAAAGCATATTCATACAAGCAACATTATATAGACAGAGCTGGCTGTATTTCTATGTTTAGGAGCACAAACACACTTAACAACAACTAAGAGAGACCATAACTTTGAAAGAGAAGTAGCAGGATGGCATATGAGGAAGGAAGGAAAAAAGAAATGGGGAAATGGAAGTAATGCAATTATACTCACAAAAATCTTAAGAAGTATTTTTTTTAAATGGTGGCAGGTAGGTGACAAAGCTCTGCTGATAAAAGCACTTACCACCAAGCCTGTTGATCTGAGTATATGATCCCTGGGACCCACAGAGTGGAAGGAGAAAATCAGCTTCCACAAGGTGTCCTCTGACTTCCATATGTGTGCATGGTACACTCAGGCACACACACACTAACACTCACACCCATACCCCCCACAACTCAGGCACACACACACTCTCAAAACACAGACGTTAAATAAACAAATAGAAAATTAGAAAAAAATAAGGCAGAGAGTAATAGGGGAAGACACTCTTATTGCCTTTTCTGGCATCTGCATGGACAGAAAAATATCCATGCAAAACACACACACACTCACACACACACACACACACAGACACACATACACACTGAAAAAGAAGAGAATCTCACCCATTCATTAATCTACCAACATTTGTTCGAAATATCAGCAAAAATGCATAAGCTCTGCCTTCAAACTGTGAATAATGTGGCTATTTTCTATGTGTTATCACTGAAACAATTTTATAACTGCTTGACAGATGCATACATAGATTTTAGCTGGTTCTTCCTGGTTTCTTTATCACATTGCAGTGAAAGTGAAATTACAACTAATTTAGAAGGATGCTCTTTCCTGAATTATCTCTATCTTTTCAGTGTGTGAAATCCTCTTCTCAAAGAGGACTGGGTGGGTGGTATTGCCTATAGCAAAAATAGGATTCCACTCAGTCACTTTTTTAGTCACCATTCTTTGTCTCTAGCACAAATGCTTCATGAAGCTTCTTAGCTAGGATTTCATTACAAATGATACAACTCACTATTTTTATACAGACAAACATTTAAAAACAAACACGAAGCGAATAAACACATCCCAAGAAAATGACCTTTACTGAGGTGTATATGCAAATAAGAAAATGAATGAGCATTCCTGGAGAAAAATGAACTTTAAATAGGTCTATTACTTTTTTAGTCCCTACCAGAAAACAATAGGTTAGCAGAGATAATAAAACATCAAATAGTTTATTCTTCAAGGCAAGTACTGACCTGAGGACAGAATGGTACAATGAGCATATAATATGATCCGTTATTTATGTCTATTCTTACTTGTATTTTTTATAATTTTCTTTTTGGGTAAATTTTGTATATTCATAAAATATTATGTTATTTGTTATGTAAAACTATATATCTCAGTCACTGTTCTGTTGTTGTGAATAGACACCATGACCAAGGCAGCTCTTACGAAAGAAAGGATTTAACTTGGGGCTTGATTGTAGTTTATATCATCATGGTGGAGAGCATTCAAGCAGATTAAGCACTGGAGCAAAATCTAAATGCAGATCACATACTGCCAACATACAGTGGTACAAAACATATACCATTCCAAAAATGGAGGAAAGGGCCTGTAGTGAGGAAACACTGGGACAAAGATTGAAAACCAGTAGGGCGCATTGCAAATTCTGCATCACCATGTCTGACGTCAAAGTACCCTTCAGAACTCCACCTCCTTCCAGCCTTGTTGACTGCGACACACACTTCTCCCTCCTGGGTAGTCCCACACCCTGTCTGCAGCTTTCCTCAGCAGGTATGCTATGGCTCTGTCATTGCCAAAATCTTGGGGTCTCCAACACAATCCAGGCCTCAACTTCTCAGCCTCACAAAGAGCCTCTCTAGACCTCTATGCAGAGACAGCTCTGCCACAAGGCTAGCCTTGGTGACTTTCCTTGGTCACAGAGGACGATTTCACAACCCCTTTCTTATATTCTTGACTCTGAAGACATAACCAAGTGACCAAAGTTGCCACGTTTTGTTGTTTGCCAAGGGCTGGACCTTGGCCCCTTCCTTTGGTACACTTGCCTTACCTTTCTGGTGTTGCATATATAATATAATATAACATATAACATATATAATATACAATATAATATAATAATATATGATATACAATTTAAAATATAAGATATTCAATTATATATGATATAATATACAATATACGATATATGATATATATTTTAATATATAAATATATTTTAATATATAATATATTTTAATATATAATATATATTTGTATATACATATATGTATATATGTGTATATTTTATATATATCATCAGATATATTAGATAATATAATACTTAAAACAACCTGACTGTATGTCCCAAAACTTTGAAGTTAGAAGAGTAATTTCTATTTCTAGTATAGCTCAGGACCTGATGAAGTCACATGTGGTAGTGCACACTTGGAATCCTAGCACTCAGAGGTTTTCTTTAGCTACTACTTGGTTATTTTGAGGCTAGTCTGGGCAATGAAACCCTTTCCTCTCTCCATTCCCTTTCAAACTAATTATTTTCATCTCCTTAATTGTGATATTTGAGTTTTGCAAACTCAATAGTAAAACTGATCTAGATTTTTTAAAATTAAGGATTACAGATAATTCTGTTTTATTAACCTCGGCTTATTTTGTGCTTTATAGTACTCATAGATAAGTAGCTATTAATGATCACAGTTTATTCACTGCTTGTCTCACCAAGAACAGCGCTACAGTAGGACTTCACAACTATTTGCACAGCTATGTGGATGAGTGACAAAAATGACTACCGTGCTGCTTTTTTACTTCAATATAGCAATTGAAGTAAGGCGATTCAAAAATCTATTTACCATCAGAACATGTTTAATGTATTTGTGTAGCTCATCAGCATTTATAATAGGTACTTGTCCTTAAAATTTGTTAAAGTTGAGATATATGAAAAGTGAAATAAAAATTTGTGCATTTGTAATTTGTCCTAATTTTCCAAGGAAAACAACAAAAATAAACCCCACTGGATTGTAGATCCATGCTGTTGCTCAATCTCCCTTTCTCCCATTTCTTTTTTGCTCTAAAAGGCCTGTATAGAAACAACTAGAGATTATTAAATTGGGCAATAGTGTTTTACCAGAGGTAAAAATGTGTTGTTGTTTTTTTTCTTTTGTTTTGTTTTGTTTCACTGTATAGCGTTGGCTGTCCCGGACTCACTTTGTAGACCAGGCTGCCTCGAACTCAGAGATCCTCCTGCCTCTGCCTCGAGGTAAAATACTGTTTATTTTCCAGAGGTTAGTAGTTGTTCTTTGGTGAGGAAAAGAGAACTTCTTGTTCTTGGTTTTTTTTTTTAATTGATTTTTTATATTAGTTACAGTTTATTCACTTTGTATCCCAGTTGTAACCCCTTTCCCCTCATTCTCTTCCAATCTCATCCTCCCTCCCTCTTCTCCTCTCATGCTCCTCCCCCAGTCCACTGATAGGGGAGGTCCTCCTCCCCTTCCACCTGACCTTAGCCAGGCTATTTAAGGGTGAAGACTCATGGTACCAGTTCTACAGTTGCTAGCGAACAGCTCCCCATTTTAGATACATTTTGTTAGGTTGTCATTTATAACCTAAGCCACGACTAAGTACTTGATATTCCCCACCTCTTTCCCATATTTGTGGACTTTGGAATAACTGGCAGTTGTTTAGATTCGGAACATCCCATCCGTGGCACTGAGCCCAGTACCCTCCCGCCCTTCTCTAAAAGACTTGACGCAGTGACAGACTGAGGAGGGGGTCATGGAGAAGATTCCAACAGTGCTCGGGCAGTCCCAGACAAGCGAAAGGCTCAAGGAGAAAGTCACACACACACACACACACACACACACACACACACACACACACACACAC